TTAGTGCTATTTCCCAGAATATATCAGAAGGATCTTTCTCAAAGTTCAATTTAAAGGTTCCCCATGATCCCAAGGTATGCATATTGTTTTTTTGGGACTGACCACAAAACAAAATGGACGACAGGCAGCCATCTTGAATTTGAGAGTTAGTTTTTTAGCGCTGTTTTTCAGAAAGCATTAGAGGGTCTTTCTTAAATTTGACACAAACTTCCTCATCACCCCTAGTTCGCATATTAAATTTCGGGACAGAAGGGAAAACCAAGATGGCCGACAGACAGCCATCTTGAATTTGAGAATGAAAGTTTGTGAGCGTTATTTCTCAGTGTTAAGAGGGGTCTTTCTCAAATTTCCGAAATAAAATGACCTTAAATGATTTTGTGTTTCAGTGGTCAAGGTCACTGTAACTAGGTATATATAGAAACTGTTTCGTCGTATGGCTTTAACAACTTCATTCAAAATAGGATTTTAATCAGACTTCATTATCATGGATAAGAATGAGGATATCTTTAAGAAGTTGTTTAGGAGTACCAACAAGTTAATGTTGCTGTTGCTGCTTACATAAGTTTTGTTGTAATCATGCACTCTAGCAACATCAGTACTTTACAGGTTTTGAACAAAAACGTATGTCTCCCCTTTAACTGTTGAAAAGTTACAGTAAATTCACTTTGAGGTAACTTTTGATCTAAACTTCATACTGCTGTGTATAAAAGATAACCTTCAGTGTGAGTTTGTCATTTCACATATTTACAGTACTTTGTGAAAGAAATAGATCCGAACATTGCAATATCGGCTGTTTTGTTTATCCCAACCGTCTCAAAATTAAACATGCTCAACTAAAACTGTAAGCCAAAGGCTAACTAATACCCCCCGCCGCTACACAAACCAGAACTGTAAGGCAAAGGCTAACTAAGGCACAGCATTGCAAAGTAATCCGTAGTCTCCCACCAGTAATGATTTCTTTATTAACTGAGCTGTACACTTATTTAAGTATACTGGTCACAGACATACTTCCTGTACTCCCTTTCCATGCCAAAACATACTTACATACTCCATCTTGTTAGCCCAGATGAACAAGTTTTGCTAAAATTGTCCTATTAGTTAAGGAAAAGATGTCAGGACACACATATTTAACAAAGGGCCATAACTCCTTAAAAAGGGTCGAAATGAAAAAATACTAGCCTGATGCACGACATCAGGCCAGGGGGTAATTACAGTATCTGTAAAAGTTTCATTGAAATCGGCCCAGTAGTTTATGAGACAGACAAAAGTTTATTCAACAAAGAGCCATAACTCCCTTTAAAAAGGTTGGAATGAAAAAGTGCTACTTGAATGCACAATGTCAGGGGTCAGTTACCATATCTGTAAATAAAACCCAGTAATTGGCCCAGTAGATAAGGAAAAGTTGTCAGGATAAGGATTTTCCAACAAAGGGCCATTACTCCAAAAAAAAGGGACAGATTGAAAAAAATGAAACCTGGATGCACAACATCTGGTGGTAGTTATCATATGTGAAAATTTCATTGGCATTGGCCAAGTTTTGGAGAAGTTGTGCAAGAAACAATTTTCAACAAAGGGCAATAACTCCGTAAAAAAGGGTCAGAATGAAATAAATAATACCTGGATGCACAACTTGAGGTAGAAGTTATCATATCTGGAAAGTTTAAAAAAAAAAAATGCATACATGAACAAGATCTAATTGTAATGAGGACCATTACAGAAGTCCTCAACACTGACCCCATAGTCGCAAATGATGCTTGGATAGAGTTTACAATGCCATCATATACTTGCATACAGACACAGTGAGGGATTGTTGGCATCACCTTGGCATACACCTTTAAACACTTAAACTAACTTAGCTATATACATGTAACATGGTGTCTAATTCTGTTTAAGTACAATGATGTGGTTCTGTGATATGTCTTAACAAACAAAATCTGTCTCCAATAAAAAATAAAAATATTTTTATTGAGTTCAATTGCAATCTTATAAACTTAATAGTATCATTAAACACAAACACATGCTGGAAAAGAAGGGAATATCTATAAGAAGTTTTGTATTCTTGTTACAACCGATAAGAGCACAAAACTACAATGACACAATAATAACCTAGACTTGAGCTAGAGGAATGCATTACTTTCATGGAGAAACTGGTTATTGCATTTGATATAAAAACGGCTGTGTGCAATGAACAACAGCTTAATAAAGTATATGCCGGTGAACAAATAGAATTTTATCAATGTTAATGCATGTATTAGGCCAAACAAAATGATAAATTTGTTTAGAGTTGAACCTGAAATGAAAGCAGGGTAGGTAGATAGATGTGACATTTATTCCTACCCCTCCTCCTGAAGTTTTTGCCATTATCTTAAGTTAAATCTTTAATTGATAGTGCTAGTACAAAACAGATAAGAAATTATAGTGTTGGTCTTAAAAGAAAAAAGTAGGCAGTAACTCTAAACAGACGTATTTTTGTTTATTTGGCCTTATTATGACTACAAAAATATTAATCAACACCCTGTAATGTGGTTTCCTATAATTTGAAAGAATACAGCAGAGGGTGAATTGTACTGCTCCAGTGTGTATATTAAATATGGTGTATAAGTCCACATACCATACGTTGTGAACCTCTCCTTTATCATGCAGTGGTTGGTACAACATTCTAAACAGAAACTTGTCATTCTATGTAATTTATATAACTTTTTCTCTACTTTGCAAATAATTGCAGACTTGAAAGATTTTATTTCTTGACTGATAAAATTGAATTAATATCAATCCTGTATCAAAAGCAAATCTTGATTTAGATTTCAGTTTTATTTTTCAGTTCGGTTACTTTGAACACTCTGTAAATAATGTCATATGTGTGAAAAACAGAATTTCTTTGTTTTTTTTAATTTTTTTTTATCATGTTCCCAGGGACCTTCAGCACCAAGTTGTCAGGATATTGATATGTACACTACATATTACCCCCCCCCCCCCCCCCCCCAATATTACAGACAGAAAATGACAGATGCTGGCCACACAGAAACATGCCATAATAAGTATTAAATACACTGTAGATATTATTGTACATTTAGCAATAGCACCTGTGCACCACACACATTCATACTCACTCATACTCACTTACACTCATACTCACACACTCACAAATAAAACAAATCCATAATCTACATCCATAATCTACTATACATTCAACATTTGAACACCTGTGAAACCGAAACAGGTATGTATACACTCCTGTTCATGCCAAACAAAACACAATTTGTCACACAATCACACATACCCCGACGGACTAACTTATAAACACACATTCATATATATATATATATCAACATGCAATTGAAGTAGTCAATTAGATAATCTTTGCACAAAGGGAACATTAACAACCAAATATGGCTATACAGATTAAAGTTGTCTTAATCCTTTCAACCCTATGTAACTTAAGTAGACTCTACCATGCATTGATATGGCTGTGTCCATTATGGTCTACAGTACTGGTGAAAGGGTTATGTAAACATACATTTTAGGTTTCTTCACTGAAACAGACTCTTTCATACTTGTTCAAGCACATCCCAAATATAAATATAATTTAACACTAGCCATACATTTTCTTCTTAATACTAGTATATCTAAGTGAAAATGTTGTATTATCATACAGTGGATAAAATTAATCATTAATCTTTGTATCTTTTGCTGCAGTGATTTTACATACAAACAGGAAGGAAAACTCACTGATAAGCGTAATTATAATTCCATCATTTTAAAATTAAGTTCTAGCATGGAATAGCTTGTGTCCATATATTTGATATAATCAGTGCAAATAGATTCAAATTTCTCAACTTGTTTGGAACTTTTCCATCTTTGCGTATTGCAGAGTTATCTTCTCTTGTGAGCAGGTATTGATTGTTACGTCATTGGTTTGTGCGAGAAAATTACTTCGTTTTCTCAAAAATTGATGACGTTACTCTCACAAACAAGTGATGTAACAATCAATCCCTGCTCCCAAGAGAAGATAACTCTGCAATACGCAAAGACGGAATAATCAAGGTCTGATCATTAGGAAACACTGAAAATCACATCTAAAAACTGAAGTAAAAACCCATTACCCGAGAACATTGAAATCTCACTAGGTCAATTAAACATCCAAACATGCAAAACTACTGTGTACAAATACATGACAATATCTTTATATATTTTGACATTAAATCCAATATTGATCGATTGTAAATCAAATTTCTTGCCTTGTAATTCATCATTGGGTTTCATGCAATATTACAGGATCTCAAAGATGTTCAAACTTCAACATTTGTCAGTCGAAGTCTCATTGTTTCGTATCTTCCCTGATGGACCTGCAAAGTTTGAAACATCGAGGTTCGACTGTATTTTCGTTGAATTTGCTTTAATTAGATCTTTGATTACAATACATACAATATCCAGCAGAGATCTAAGAAAATTTAACTGATCAATAATTATATAAATAAAATATTAAGTCTAGCAAAGTAAAAATTCAACTGTACCTAAATGGTAAAGTATAAATATGAGTAAAATAATGAGAAGATACCTTTTTACTTGAGTTATATATATCTATTCTACAACATTTCTAATGGTTATTTCAACTATCAAACATTTTTACAAGCCAGGGGAGATAATTCAGTGAGACAATCATTGACATATGACATTATGCAAATTTGTATCCACCAGTATTCCTCTCATTCCAGGGTCAAGGTTTTCAGTCTATGATAACAATGATTACATAATCATGTTGATAGTTTGATAGGAAATATATTCAAAATGGACAATATTACAATATATGCAGAAAATAAAGGTTGGACAATTATTTGTATTGATAACTGCCCATCACTGAATTTTATTTATTTTATCTCATAATATATTCTCCGAAATAAATCCACCACCACTTTTCACATCACACTTCAAACAGTCGAAATGAAAATTAGTGCTAATGGGGTTATTTCTGTCTGCAACAAAAAATACTAAAATATATAAGCAATTTCTGTGCTTTAATCTACATCATTTACATGTATTAATGGGGACATATACGATGCTCAGAAAACAAAAGGCACAGAGGACCCTAATTGCTCATCTGGATACTATTAAAGTGGACATTTTTGCATTGCTGTAATGGTCAACTTTTTAATGTGTTGAGTAAATGAGCACCAAAAAATCCACACACAATTATTTATTTATAGATTATAGATAAATAGAATAAATGGATTTCGGAACTATTGCCCAAAACAAAATTATTCACACCTCGATCAGTTTAAAGAGTCACAATGTGAATATTTCCTCATGTGAAAAATTTCATGTTAAGAGAATTTAAGCAATCATGGCAAAATATTCCCTTCAAAAGTATATAATTCTGATATTTCCTTATTTCCTCTATTCTCGAACCCAAGTATACTTCGTAGCAAATCTGTGTATGGTTATGTAGGGTTTGGATAATCTCAATGTAATGACCAGAAATTCCAGCCAGCAGGGCCATGCAGATCCAAACGATAACCTTGCTAACATATTTGTGCCATTTTCTTCATGCCAAGTAAGCATAATATAATGTTTAATATATGATTGGACTACGAAGAGCTTTGTACTACTGGTCTACGAATGGACCTTATGGCTATTTAGAGAATGTTGCGTACAGTATTTAACTTTTTTGAACCCCTGGAAAGTAGGCCAAGGTCATTTATAAGAGGAAACGTTATATGCCATGTATCTGCTGACCAAAATTCACAACCTTACATTGCTGTCCCACACCATAAACTCACAGGCACTACGTGGCAGGTGCCATTAAAGTCTAAATGTAATTGTAAGTTCATGAGGTATGCCATTAATTCATAAATTATCATTGTTCACAAAGCCACTTCAATTTTTGGGTCTTTTTCTTTGATTTCATTCACAATTTTGACATTGAGATAGTTTGTGTCAAAGCTTCAGGTAGCTTTTTGTCTTGACATTACCTGGTATTTATTTTTTCATTAAAATCATGATTAGTGTCAACTGCAATATATCATTACATGTACAGTTTCCCAGAAAAATCCATCTCCATATGAGACATCCTTATGTTTCTTTTTGGCACACAACAGAACTTTCAAAACACAGCCAAGATTTCTTGTATTAAGATTTGATGTAGACCTCTTCCTTCTTTATGGCTTTTGGTCTAAAAAGCCTCCAATTTTGGCAAGATCTTCACCAGCTCGGCGTAAAATGGCAAGAGCTTTTTCACCTGAAGGTAAACCAGTAACAATTGGAATATTTCAATTTTATATTGGAAACAAAGAAGCAATGTAAAGAATTTGTTTTGATAACCTGAATGATCTTACATAGTCTGTGAATTGACAGCATTTTTTAATATACAAGGATGGGGAGCTACATCTTCATAACTGTGATCAGTCTCACATCTTCAGACATCAGAATTTGATATTATCTTAAAGATTCACTTTTCACAAATTACAAATTATATGGTATTCATTTCATGAAAGTCTGACTTATTATAGTTTAGTGCTAGTGGAAATAGTTTGATGGGTTTTTCATGTGGAATCCATGATACGAGACTATTAAAATTTGTTTGACAAGATTCTGCATTAGATACATTTTTGAAATCCAAGGTTTCTGCTTTTGATACACATATCTTCTCTGAATTCCATGCATGGGAGTTATTATAACAAAATTCAACGTTGGATTGGTTTCAGGTATACAAATTTGACCAATTGCTCGGATGATAATATAACTGTCTTTGACAATTACAGAGGAGCTATGTCAAACTGCCAAGTCTGTAGATTTCACCGTTACAATGCCACACAGTTCCTTTAATTTCCAATCCCCATCAAAGACATAAGGCTAGTCTGAATCTACCATTTGCAAGGAACCCCATAAAGATCCTCCAAATTTATCATGACATATTCCAAGGATGTAGAAAAGATATGTACATCAAAAGTGGAACCCTTGCATTTCAAAGATGGATTTTATAATTTTACACAGGTAACATTGTATGTAACCAATATAAGCTGCCTTTGATCATTCACAGATAAATACTTACTAGCAGACACTGTATCTGAACCTGTTGATGATTTAACTCGTGTATACACTGATGTTTCAACAGTTGACACTAATGGCTCTAGTTCATGGAGTATCTGCAGTCCTTTTTGCGGGAAGCCATCGCCAATAGTTACAGCCATGTCTTGACCTGGCAGTAGTCTGTTAGCCATCGACAAAGCTCGTCTCGCCCTATCTAAAATCTCATCTTCTTGTTCAAATTTGTCTAAGTTTGTGAGATCCAATAACTGTTGAACCACGTCTTTGTTGCTACTGTCTGCATCAGCACCAGTGACATTTTCATGGGACATAAATGCACTATCGTCCACGGATAAACCAGCAAGTGGATCGTCCTGCGTGTTGAGCTCTTGGGAAGTACTAGGACAGGAATTGTTCTCACGGGGACACCCTGTGTCCTGGTTTGTAGTATTGAATGGCAGAGAATTAAACTGAGATGTCAAATTTGTATGCAGGCCAGTCTCCTGATTGGTTGACTGCAGACTTGCAGTTTGATATCCTGTGTCCTGATTGGTTGAATATCCTGCATTGTTGTCCTGACTGAAATCCATCTCTGCCATCGAAAAGTCTTTGGTCGTTGCAAGTAAACTAGATGTCTTTATATCATCGGCAAATCTCAGATTCTTGATTGGCGGTACAGAGTCGAAGTCCATTGGTGTGTTATCTAGATCCTCCTGAAACAGGCTAGTTCGGTGTTTATGCCGACTAAGGTGAGAGACTTTGCGATTTGACACACTCTTTTTCTTCACAGAACATTCTTTGCTGGCCACTGGAGTGACAACATCATCCTCCTCTTCAGAAGTGAAACCTTTAACACAGAGATGATAGGTTTATAACAAAGTTTAGAAATCACAAGGCAACTTCATTAAACTATCAGTAATCATAACTAAGTATCTGTTAAATATTGACAACCAGGTGATACAATACATTCTACAAGTAGTTAAGTCTACTTCAGAAAATTTGGAAACCTAATTGAAATTCTTAAGACAAAACCATTTCTAAATCACTTCGTCAGAGAACTGATGTGTGAAGATTTGAAAAGAAAAAAGCAATTTAAACAAACTGTATAATTTATGAATTTCATACCCTAAAATGTCCGTATATAATAGGGCCGATATGAAAAAAGGTCAGCATTGAAAATGATGAATGTAGTCCTTACAGTCAAATATTTCTCCATGATACGAAAATAGGGTGGTTTTGAATTGTGCATTGGATTCAAGGTAGGACCACATTTTACATGTCGGCCTATGCAGGTTTTACAGGTAGCAATCACATTACATCATACATGATTTATTGTTACAACAATATTATCAAAGAAAAAAAGAAACAATTTCAATTTCATTAAAAAACCCTGTAATTTTCCTTTCAAAGTTTTTTTTTGAAAATATGCCTTTCAAGACTTTCTGTTCGAATGACTTCAAAAATAAAACAGCCTAAAAAAGCCCAGCTTTGAAAATAAGACTGTGAATCTTGACTAAAACTCAAAATAAGCTGCGGGTTATTTTTAAGATCTAACAGTAAATTATGTACAATACAAAAGAAAAAACCCCCACTTAAAACAATTATTCATGATGTATCATTACCTTACACTCGTTGACATTTAAGAATTTGAAATTGTATTTTTTACAACCCATCAACAATTTCTTTAGCTGACAGTAATTTGGAGGAAGGGGTGCAGTAGAGAGGTTTCAGATTCTTTTGGATATAATGTAAAAAACAAAGAATAGACCGATAAGTATGCAAAAAGGTTACAAAACCTAGCAGAATTTCTTTACACATGTATACATACAACTTTTGTTTGAATTTCTTTACACATGTATACATACAACTTTTGTTTTAGCTAAAACACAAGGATGGTAAGATTATGAATACATCTTTAGCATATATACCTTGGTTGTACTGTAGAAAAGAACCATCATTATTTTCCTCACTGTATGGCGAGTCTGATCTTATAGGAGAAATACCCGGACTTTCTAAAGACGTTCGAGATGGATGTCGACCTTCCTCTGGAGAAACATCCCAGTTAATTTGACCTTTTATGGGGGAAATTTCAGGGCTCAAAGGAAGATCTTGTGTGAATAAAGCTTTTCTCTCAACTCCAGAAAATATGTCGTCCTCAACAAAGCTACCTTCATGGGGAACAAAACATTCTGATGACCTTGATTTTGCTGAAAAGTTAGAAATCAATTGTTAATTGAATATTAAGCAAGCTGAAAATATATTTTCAAAATGTGCTTACTAAAACAATTGTGCATGTAGAATAAGAGAAGCTAGAAAATAATTTTAGACCTAAGGCTTAATGAAATTCAGTGTAATGTTTATTATTACCTCAAATTCTGAAATCTCATTACCCTGTGTTTCTGGATTAATAAGAATTCAGATATCTCAATCCTTTTGCATATCTTGATTATCAAGAATGTAGACAGCTTAATCCTCCTGTATATCTTTAGCTTGGTTACCAAGAATTAAGGCATCTTAATTTTCGAGATTTTATACATCTGAATTTTCCTGTAGATCTTGCTTACATCTTGATCACTAGTAGAGAAATGGTGTCCTTCCTGAGCTCAATACTTACAGATACGACTTTGGTGACCCCGTATGATGGGAGATAACTCTGTGTCTGAGAAGTCCTCGACAGGAGAAGTAGGACTAAGCTTTGGTAAAGGCAAACCTTTACCCTTTTTGATTGGACTAGATGAAAACTGGCTCTGCAAAGATTAGATTTATAGCTTAGCTGTGTGAATTTAAACATGTATTTATGTATTTATTTATCACCACAGCATGTTTCAATTAAAAATTAAAATTATTAAATTTGTTTCCATTTTTTTTCAGGTTTGGTTTGGTTTAGTATTGTTTAATGTCCTATCAACAGCTATGTTCATTTTTTTTCAGACTACAACATTGCATACTTATAATTTGTGTATAACAGCATTCAAAATTTGAAATTTTGCTTTTTTTCTCTATCAAATGGACACAATGCTCTATTCAAATTGAGTAAGAAAATACTTGCAGGGATCTCTTAATGTCCTTTAAGGCCATGGAGACATAGATAAATAACTCTGAATATTTAATGCTGGCATTGAGAACGGACAACTGGCTGTTGGCATGGAACATCTGTTACTTAATCACTGATTGAGACCACCAAATTAGTGCATAGTTACCCTTGATGGAGACTTCAGGGGCGTGGCTTGATCCCTACTGTCCGGCACTTTGGCATACTTGACAGGTAATACTCGAGGAGAAGCACCGATGTCTACCAAACTGTGGTCACCTTCAAATGGCCCCGCCCTAAATCAGATGATGGAATTAAATGACATACATGCTTTTAAAGCTAGAACTGGTATCACCCAGCAAGACTACTATACTGTAACATTTGCTGCCCACAACACTAGATTCTCCATATGAATAATTTAAACTCTGAAATGACAGTAAGTTAATATGAAGGAGGATGAGAATTCATTTGTCATCCTAGATACTTCAGGGGTTATGCTCATTTACATTCTGTGCACCCCCGGAATATTTCATGAAAATTGTTCTACATTGCAGATGAAACAATTAGACTAGTTTGATTCTTTGATGTACATCAACAGAATCGCATGGAGCATAAGGGTAAAATTGAAATCAGGTGTTGCTCCTTTGTAAATCTTCAAAGGACAAGTATCAGACCATTGCACCTTCAGTTCAGTCATGACATGTTCCATGGGTGCAGGGAATGTAATTGAGCATAAGTCCTGTAATTCTGAGGAAGTCATTTGAAGGATAATAAGTTACATATTCATATAAAGCCAACACAAGTCATAGACTCACTTGACTGGACTGGGAGCCAGACTGCTGGTGTCTGCCTGGAAGAAGAGCTTACGACGGAGGGAGGAAGTACTCAGCATTTCCTGGTTATTTTCATCACTTAGTTCATAGGTCATGTACTGTCCTGAAATTTACATCAATAGATCTCCTATTATATACCATATATACAATTAGTTTGAAAAAAACCACCCAAAACCAATTGAGATAAATAGTTGAATCTGATTTAGATACACACATGTCGTAATATTTGGCACATTTAATCACAATATTCTGCACATGAATGATATTTCTATGCATGCACATATTTTTTCAACAATTTTTGCATTTTGTTACATTACATTAACAGTCAGTTCAGCATTTTTTACACCCATTTTCGGCCTTTCATTGCGAGGTTCACTTTCGATACCTCTGAAGTGATTTATGTACAATGTCAGTGCTAAATAAAAATTGCACAGAATTTGCACCTTCAATTCTATACAACACAAAAGAGTTTTAGAGATCACATGGAGGGCTATATTTAAGTCATCAATTTTACCGTTAAATCACCAAACAAAGTTTTGAAATGGTGGTCAACCAAAAGCTAAAAGAACAAAATTAGAAAAAGAGGTCCAAGGGTCTCAACAGTCACCTGAGTTATATTATGGGTAGCTTAATTTCTTTGTTGAGATGTGAAATGGAAATCAGCATGTAAACAAAGTGAAACATTGGTTTGGTTTGGTTTAGTATTGTTTAATGTCCTATCAACAGCTGTGGTCATTGAAGGACAGCCTCCCATGTGTCCAAGATGAATTCGTGTAGTATATGCGTGTGTTTCGGAAGGCTGCGATATGTTCAAGTTTGTCTCCTTTTGATAGTGTGGAACTGATGCTGACTTTATAGTGCTACCTCACTGAAACATACTGCAGAAGACACCCAGCAGTACACCCCATCCGGTCACATTATACTGGCAACGGGCGAACCAGTCGTCCCACTCCTAAATTGCTGAGCATTAAGCAGGAGTAACACTATACTTGTCATGTCACCAAAGGGAAAAAAAACCTATTCAAATAAATTATTTTGCTATTGAGAATTATAATATCTATTGTGACTTACCTAAAACTTTATTGATGTCAAAATCAATAGGCAGCGTCAGTGTGGTTTGACATCCAACTGCAAACAAAGTGGAATTTCTAATTGATAAAATTTGAAAATAGGTATATATAAAAACATGGTTGTAGTCAAAATTAAATTTGTAAATACCCTAAAGGTAACATATGATACTTAAAAACATTCTTTAAATATATACTGAAGAAAGAGAATTTCAGAAACGTGGACATTTTTCCACTCTGAAGAAGTAAATGAGAAAAATATTGGCACATGAATATTTACGGTATTGATCAAATATTAAGATTATAGATACCAGGTTTTTATAATAAAGGTATAGATTTTGGCCAATGTGAAAATGTTCACACTGCAAATTGTTTAAAAAGTCACAACTGAAAAGGATTAGAGGGCCTATAACTTCTGTATAAAGATGAACTTGAGACTGGATTTCAGTGTGTTCCATTCTGCCATCCCAAGAGATATTTTCAAATAAAATTTGCCAATTGTAGGGGAAAGAGTGTACAGAATATGCTCTGGCTATAATGTCACACTGACAGATATGGTAGGAGATTAACAACAGACAAGGAAATAATGTATTTCAGACAACTTTTTTAGTAGCCTTAAGCTTTACCAAAACAAATGCAAGGTAATCCAGGATTATTTTCATTTTCATTTAAATATGAAAGACTGGAGTTTTTCTTAACTACTTGGGGAGTTGAGTATAATGAGGCAGATTTGTGAAAATCTGTTGGTTATTTCATAAACTAATTCACATATTTGGTAAATAAAAAAAAAAATGTTAAAGGGGCTGGTCGGGGAAAAATGTCATATTTGCTAAAATGGCATACTCATGTTTAAAATACCTTCTTATGAAATATACCGATTCAAATTTTGCTGAAATTCACTCCCTAAAGAGTAAAAATTATAATTATATTAAAGAAATCCTACATCGTCACCTGACAGTCTAAAACTCTCAATTGATCCAGATCAGTGATGTAATTTTACCGCACACGCTTCATCAACAAGGCCAAATGTAAACATCGCGGCGAAAGAAAAGGATGCATGCAAAAGTCATGACAGGCACAAGGTATCAATACCGTTATATATAATAACAACATATAGGTGGGATACTACACTTGCATCATACATGACCTTTGAAAATAATTATTTACGTATAGTATTGCTGTCTTGTCCGCTAGTTGAGTCCGACATGGCACATGACGGCATGCTATTGTTGTTATCTTCACTGCCTCACTTTCGACATATATAAATAGATCTGCTCTAAATTTATGCAGGGCTTCCCCAAGATTTCAGTGGTCAAAACTGGACATTGTAAGCAGAACTTCACCATCATATTGCTGTAGTATAACTTTTGGAAGGCCAGAGAACGCATTTAGACCCATTTATTTTGTATTTTTTTCCACGACCAGCCCCATTAAGCTATTGTATATTACAACAAGGCTATCACTATTGTTCCATAAAACTTACCTTCCTGTGTTCTTATGGATTTCTGTGGAAGCTGCCTCTGAATGGAGCCCTGAAGATCTGGCTCTAAACAAGCCTTCGGCAAGCGCTCATCTGATCAATCAGAATAAGTCAAATTAGACAATTAACTAAAAATAGTCAGTAAAAAAAAAAAAAAAAAGGAAAAAGAAAAGTAAGGTTCCGTGTGCACCGCCTTGTAAATGTTACATCAAAAGAATTCCACAACAGTGTAACAATAAAATAAACAATGAGTAAAGTAATACATACACTACTCCAGATCTATACTGGTTATGTACTGTACAATGTGTTGTATTTAATTACACAGTAAGACTGAGTTTATTCAGTTGAATCAATAATAAAGATATTCATGTCTTCCAAACTTTTTCAATCGTGGAAAAACAAAAACAAAAAAATCCCCTGTAAACTGTCTGTTTTCTGGAGTTTTAAAATAACTAACTTTGTTACATCACTTTTCATTATTGTATTGCGTCGACTTATATCTGCCACATCTCTGTAGAATAAAACCTTTAACACTGTGCCCTACTGTTCCCATTATTGTATTAAGTTGACTTATGTCTGCCACATTTCTGTAGAATAAAACCTTTTACACAGTGCCCTACTGTTCCCATTATTGTATTAAGTTGACTTATGTCTGCCACATCTCTGTAGAATAAACCTTTTACACTGTGCCCTACTGTCCCCATTATTGTATTAGGTTGACTTGTCTGCCACATCTCTGTAAAATAAACCTTTTACAATGTGCCCTACTGTTCCCATGATTGTATTAAGTTGACTTATGTCTGCCACATCTCTGTAGAATAAACCTTTTACAATGTGCCCTACTGTTCCCATGATTGTATTAAGTTGACTTATGTCTGCCACATCTCTGTAGAATAAACCTTTTACACAGTGCCCTACTGTTCCCATTATTGTATTATGTTGACTTATGTCTGCCACATCTCTGTAGAATAAACCTTTTACACTGTGCCCTACTGTTCCCATTATTGTATTAAGTTGACTTATGTCTGCCACATCTCTGTAGAATAAAACCTTTTTACACTGCCCTACTGTCCCCATTGGAACCCTTTCTAGTCTTTCTTTTTTTGAAATTCTATTGTACGATAAAAACATGCTGCCTCCCAGTCAATAAACAAGATAATTAGTCAACAAATCAACAGACTGAAAATTTGAAACTTCTTTTTAATATTCAGTCTTACCAGAGTTTGGTGTGGTCTTAACGACAGGCGCCTTTGGGTCTGTCCACGGAGAGGGAGCTACCAGGTTACTGGAGAAATATTTCTCTATAGCCTGCTGTACTCTCGCTTCTGTCTCACGATCAGGTCTGTAGCGCAAGTAAAATGTTAAAAGCGGATTTTAAAAAGAATCAACATCTTTATCGAATAAGGTGAAGAAATTCTTTTTGTTGACTGCAAGTTTTTTTTTAAGAGAAATAGTAAAATCTGCTATCTAATTAATATATATATTTTCAATGAAAAGTACCATATGTTAAGTCAAAAGACCACTTCACTTGACAGTGTACCTGTTTTATACAGCTAACAAAGAAAGTGCATGGCCTGCCCTAAATGTAAATGAGGAATGAATCATTTTTTCTTTTCTTGGGAAGCACTCAGGTCCTTTAAAGCAGCTTATATTTATAGAAATCTATGTTTTAACTTACATAGAGTGAGCAGCCTGCTGTTTCGGGTTCTCTTCAATATCTGCAGGATTTAGCTCTGCTATATGCTCAATGGCCCAGCTGAACAGTTTCTGGTAAATGTGAATATGTTTCAGATGTAATCAAACAGTCAACCTTGTGCCTTCAATTCTGTAGAATACACGATCAGGAGTGAAATTCTTGGATTTCAAAAGATGAAGAAATCTAGCACAGAATATTCATAACAACTGACAACCATATCTTTCGATGTGATTTAAGTATACAAAACATGTATTTTTTCTAAATCATACTAAAAATCTGTTTTTATATTTTTTTACCTTTTCCTCACTGTCTGGAGTTGCTTGAACATTAAAAACTCCAGGACTCATGAAAATTGGTCCTCCAAGCTCATCATATATTCCGTTATCGAAAGGATTTGTGATAATTTCCCCCTTTGGAGTAAGCTGAGGGAATCCTGGGGGAAGTCTGTTTGTCTGTGGGGTCCTTAGATGAGCTGGACTATTATTGGTTGTCCTGATTGGTGTATGGAACATTGGACTGAGTCCAGCTGGTGTTACTGACATTGGAGTGTAGCCCCTGTGTTGATATGGAGAAGACATCACTGTCTTAAGGTACAGTTCACTCCTTGTTCCACTGCCTGGCATCTTGTGAGCAGGGCTAGGACTATAAATACAAATATCAAGATTTGATAGATTGTAATCCATTTAGACAGGTCAACAGAACAGGCTCCTGGTAATATAACAATGACTTTATATTAAACCAATAAAAATAATTTCCATGATACTTTTACGACTCACTGATTGTTGTAGTCTGGTATTACCCTGGTTATACTTTAACTTTGTTAAAGGTTTGGTTTGGTTTGTGTTTTACTTCCTTTTAACAGCTTTGTCCAAGGACTGAAGGCATACTGGTCATTTTGGCCTCATAAAAAGCAAACATTTCAGCTTGAATTAATATACCAATTTATTTATTAAATCATATTGGTTAGTTGGGAACATCTTTCCTGGTGCATTTTTTCCATTGCTCAGGCATAGTTGCCCCACCATAGCAATAAAATTGTGTTGCTATGAAAAAATAGCCAAAATATGGTGTTTTGGACAGCTAGCATGAAGAAAAGAAAGCCTCTGCATGCGACAACCAAAAATGCCTTTCTACAAAAAGAACATTGACAATGTTCAAGCATGCCAAATGTATATTTGGTTGGTGAATGCGGAGGCTTTCAAAAATTCAAAAATTGAAAGAGTGTTAAGTTTATTTGCTTCAAAATGACCAATTTTCATCGTAAATATCACTCTATAGATGATATTCATTTTTTATTATTATTAAATAAACCTCTATTTGTTATGCCATATCTTCTATACCAGTTATCGAATGAATTTGAAACATATTTGCCTACTCATTTATTCCAGATTAGGAATATAACAAATAAATCTAAATCCTCGATGTGGCCAGAATTGACCCTTAATGCCACTACTACTGGTAGTTCTTTAAGCTTTAAAAAAATGATAAAATCTATTTTGTTGGTTGGAGTTGAAAATTACAAATTTATGTCAAGGTATTGATGATATGATAGATATTTTCAGTTATATTATGCATAAATAATATCTAATTAACAACATCGAGAACTGATAGTTGCTGAAGCTTGCGCAGGAACCTGTTTTATGGGGTACTGACTAAGTCTTATTAGATGTCCTACACATATGTATGTCATGTAACATTAATAGGCTTAAAACCAATAATAAACCTTACAAATATAGAGCATCCATTTTAAAATTATTATAACATATATATATATTACCACGGAATTAGCTAAGTCCGTGATATTACGATGTATTAGTTGACACACATTTTTATACATTTTCATTGGTTGGATCATATGGAGTTCAGTGACTTGTGATAATAGAGAAGTTTAGCAACCTTACGTGTACGCCTACACGTACCCGTAAGGTTGCTAAACCTATCTCTTGACTCTATTCTGTGTTACTGTTTTTAGAAAGAGCAGGTCAACATTTATTTTATGACGTCAGTTAAACCGCAAAACCTTTCCAGGTCCATAGAAAGAAGAGCTATATATTTATATAGCTGACACAGCTTTTTTCAGGCATTTGTTTCGCCAACTCTAGGTACTGTGTCAATGGCTTAGCCTGAAATAACTATCTCCCATAATATTTTGATGAGCGGAGAATAGGGTTTCTGTTACACAAGAAATTTAGAAAGTATACATTGAAGTGCACACGGTATATATATAAGCTATTTTTCAAAGAGCCCCTATAGAGGACATTCTGATTTTCTCTGCCCCAAAAAAAATTAAAAGAAGAAAGCCGGTTATTTCTGACTTTCCATATATGGAATCGATAGCTTATCAAAGTGTAACAGGAAAGAGAATAGTGTGCTTCCACCGGGGATCGAACCCTCGATCTCCAGGTTCCTAGTCGGACGCTCTACCACTGAGCTATAGGGACATTCCCCCTAGCTCGAAGCTAGAAGGCGACCTTAATCCTATGTACAATTGAACCCTGCCACAAAAGGTAATGGCCATATATGAAAATTTATAAAAATATTTTAAAACTACTGGTTGTGTATGCCTTTTACAAATATCATTATTATTACCTAGACATGAATGTCGGATGCCCCAGAGTCTTTGATGATGGCGTATGTACTTTGGATGGACGTATAGGACTCGGCATACTGTCATCGTTAAATTCGTCCAGGAAGTGCTTTTCAAATGGAAGACTTCTGACTACAGTTTTGGACCCACTTTCTGGAGCTGGACTTCCAACTGACACAGCTGCTAAATCTTTGGCTTCTTGTTCTTTTCCAGCGACCTCTTCCATCTTCTGGCGAATCGTTGTACTCTCATGTGTAGATGCTGTTTCTTCAAAGGAAATAGTTATCTGCAAATCAACAACAAATTAAATCGCCTTGAAATATATCCCAATCGAAAATTTCAGACCACTGCGATAAATGTAGACAGATTTTGAGCCCAATTGAAAATTAAGGTATTTTAGAACAGTGTTATGAAAATTTATCACCAATAAAATTGAAATCGCAAGTTTAGATCACACTCACACAGGCTTCTGTTTAATATCTAATTAGCCTACCTTCAGAGTTAAAAGTATCTGTATTTAAATTAGGCCAAATTATGAAGGATTTCCAAATATAACATCGATGAACTTGAATAGCGACTTATCACTGTTTGTGCTATAAAATCAAAACGGAAATAGGTTCATTTAAATGTTTGTTTTGTTGATATGTTTAAACACGTTCTACCTGTCAGTCAAATTTTGAAATCCCGCCAACAAATGTAAACTTCCGGTCAAAATCGTGATGCACACGTGCTTATTTTTTCGCAATATTCAAATTCAAAATTTTGTAAATACTATGTAAATTTGAATAAAAAAGGATAAATTTAAAACAGTTTACTTTATTCATTATAAAATTACAATATATAGGACATCATGCAATTGAAGTGTTTAAATTAAATAAATTATTTGAGAATATCACAGATTTATTACATAAGTATTATTTTACACGCAAATAATTGAATGGTTCTTATTTTTCTTATTAAAATATATTGATTGATTATGTTATTTATTGTCATTACAAATTATTAGACATCTTGTGATATTTTCCGCGCACCTGTTATCATAAACAACATGGCGGACTCCAATCAAACCGGGAAACGTAGGGTCTCTGCAGCAAGAGAAACCATGGATTGTAAGCTTATAAAATCAACATCTTCCAGGTCATAAATTGACTAAATAATTATACTGAATTGTCTTACCAGGGCAATACAACAATGTTAAATGCAAGATACACATTGGCTTCCCAATCAAATCTCCCCCTTGCGCTCGAGTTTCGACTGTGAATGTGCAATGCAACATTGTGCCAAATTCAAATATTCATGAATTGCCTAGAGTAAGACTGTTGCCATTTTTTCCTTGCAGAAATTATTTTTCGAAAATATTGTTGATTTTGTCTGAAAAGTAACTTTTGGATGCAGAATAAAAGTGTCGCAAAATGTCATACTGATGTTTTAAATTAACGTAGACAAACCTCTCACTTTCTTGTCTATGTTCCCGGCTAGTGACGCCTCAAGGATATTGTTCAAGTCCTGGTCGAACTGCTGCCATGTTCCCTTCTCCGAGCTTGCAGACCATTTCACTCTCTTACGACCTTCAGTCTGTTCCCTCCTATCCATCTCTTGTCCTCTCTGCAAGTGTGCATCTTCCCTGATTGCCTCTTCTCTCTCCGATGCTTGGAGGCTGTTGGGGCTATGGTTGTCTCCCTGGACCTCCTCCTCTGTCTCACCAGATTGGTCTGGGTGTTGTATCAGATTGAGAATCTGTGCACAGCCCATCCTTGTGCGATGGATCTTCATTTCTCTCTCGTACTTGCAGGTTTTTCCACAACGACAAGTTCCCCCTCTTTGTCCGTTGTTCTAGCTTATGTCCATGTTCCAGTCTGTTGTCAAATCCATAATCTGTTCATTGGGTCGCTCATCCTCCCCACTCATGCCACCCCAGTGGTGTCTTTGAATATATTTGTCCATTGCAAATATTGGGTTTTCAGTTCACAGGGTCGGCCTGCCAAGTCTGGTGCCCGGTGTTAGTCTCTCCCAACTGTCTCCAGACTTTCCAGGTTGTCACTGCTCTGTTGGCAGTTGTCAACTAGCCTTTCCTAATAGCCACTGGAAATCCAGAATGTTCTTCTAAACTATAACATAATCCAATAAAACATACAATGAGGTACAATTGTACACAAAAATATGTTAATTCAGTTGTCTAAGTCTTTGTGAAAATGACAAACTGTATCAACTCCATTGCTGATAGTGTGTTGTAGAGTAGCTATAAAAAAGCCCACAGAAAAAAGATCATGCTCACCTGTCACATTTGCAATGGATGATCCCATTGACTACACACTAAAGTCAATGGAGAAAAACAATGGTTTGTCATTTTCACAAAAAGTTTGACATCAGAATTGATAACATGGGTTCCATGTTGTTAAATTTCATAATTTTCAGAAATTCTATGAGTCCGATTAAAATTCTATGAGTAAAGGACTTGGGACTTGTATGTAGGTTTATCACCGATTCTGCTAGAGAAGAACAGTAGTCCAAATTGCCTCAGAAAAAGCCCTGTAACTATATTTTATTTGTACAGGTATCTGTAATATAAATAGATAAGAGAATATCGACCTGGACAAAAAAATAGTCAAAGGTGCACATATCATTTCCTTAACTTTTGTAGCATTATTGGAAATTTCAAGACTTCTAAACACTGGACTTGATGCGGAGACATTGACGACATGTGTTAGACTGTGTGAGAGTGGAGTTAACCCTGAAGCACTGGCTCTTGTCATACAGGAGCTGAGGAGAGAGACTGCTGCCGTCCAAGTAAGTGTGCACTGTCATCGTATAATTTATAATTTGTTTATATGAAAGACTAAGCAATTCAGAGTCTAACATGTAGGGAGGAGAGAGGCAGCTGCGGTCAAAATGAAGTGTTCATTCTCTTCATATCATAGTGTCTGAGATGCCCACATGTCATACAGTCTCACATGTAGAACAAGGGCCATTCAGTGTCATAAATGAAGGACTCACTAAGGTAATTTAGTGTCTTACATATAGGCTAATGATTTTTTAGGTCACCTGAGCAAAGCTCAAGTGACCTATTCTAATCGCTCTCCGTCCGTCGTCGTGCGTAAACTTTTTACATTTTCAACTTCTTCTCAAGAACCAGTGGATGGATTTTTTTCAAACTTGGTCAGAATCATCCTTGGTAGATGAGGCTACAAAATTGTAAAATTGGGATTCCTACCCCAACCCCTGGGGCCAGGGCGGGACCCCAAAGGAAAAATTAACCAATATTTCAAAAATCTTCTTCTTCAGACTCAGAGGTACTACAGTCATTTTCTCTACATTGAAAGAAAGATCATCAGGGGCTTTACTTAAATTGTAAATTTCAGGACCCCCAAGCTATCCATTCTCCCTTGGGGAGGGGGTAAAGTTTACTATAGTTTATATAGAGAAATAACACTTTTGGGTATATTTTGACAACTTTCTGTAGGAAATTATTTTTACTTGGTGAGAATTATCCTTGGAGGAAGATGGTTTCAAATTGTAAAATTGAAATTCCTACCCCAACCCTAGGGGCCAGGGCGGGGCCCCAAAGGGAAAATTAACCAATATTTCAAAAATCTTCTTCTCCAGACTCAGAGGTACTACAGTGATTTTCTCTACGTGGAAAGAAAGATCATCAGGGGCTTTACTTAAATTGTAAATTTCAGGACCCCCGAGCTATCCGTTCTCCCTTGGGGAGGGGGTAAAGTTTACTATAGTTTATATAGGGAAATAACACTTTTGGGTATATTTTGACAACTTTCTGTAGGAAATTATTTTTACTTGGTGAGAATTATCCTTGGAGGAAGATGGTTTCAAATTGTAAAATTGAAATTCCTACCCCAACCCTAGGGGCCAGGGCGGGGCCCCAAAGGGAAAATTAACCAATATTTCCAATTTTTTCTCCTCCAGACTTAGAGGTACTACATTCATTTCCTCTGCATGGAAACAAAATCATCAGGGGCTTTATTTAAATAGTAAATTTCAGAACTCCCGAGCTATCCGTTCTCCCTTGGGGAGGGGGTAAAGTTTACTATAGTTTATATAGGGAAATAACACTTTTGGGTATATATTTTATCCATTTTCAGCAGAAAATTACTCAAACTTAGTCAGAATCATCTTTGGTGAATGAGAGTATTACTTTGTAAAATTGGGATTCCTGCCCCATCCCCAGGGGCTAGGGCGGGGCCCCCAAAGGGAACATTTACCAATATTTTCAAATTCTTATCCTTTGATGACATGACAAGTATTGTATTTCACTTAGTTTACATGCTGATTTCCACATCACATCTAAACAATAGAATAAAGCTACCAGTACCTATGATATAACTCAGGTGACCGCTAAGCCCCTTGGGCCTCTTGTTTAATATCTGTTATTCTTATTGTAAGATCAAGGTCAAAATATAAGGTTAAAGGTCAACTTTAACATTTTATTTTGTTTTTCCTGACAATAAGTTCTGACGACTGATATCTTTTAAAGAGACATTGTTGATCAATGTTTTAATCGCCTAGATGGTTTGTTGCATGCCACTCTTGAGACCTTTAATATACACTGTAACCTAAGGTCAAGGCCATAGCAGTTGATAAAAGGTCAGGTTGTTGCATTGTTAATTTGTTATGCTTCTGTTCCTATCCATAAAATGTAAATGATTATTTCATAAAACTTCTTGAATATTTGTGTCACAACCTGTTACCGGAGGGTGTCTTTGTTTACGCTGTTCTCCTGTTGGTACACTCGAAAATTACTATTAATACATATACAAGTAAATGAAGAAGCTTTCTTGGTCCTAAACAAGGTTTTCACTTGGAAATTAGACCTGGCTTTCTAATATGGCCAGTGGTTGGCTTTTAGTATATCTTTATATTTTGACCATGTTAAAAGTAAATGTGATGTGAAACAAGATGATGATACTGGGTGAGGTGTTGCATAAGACAGCATTTGACATTATTTGAGTCGTATAGTATAATATTAAATTTGCTTTTTTTCTGCATTGAATATAAAGTAAAATTTTAATGTCAGTTTTCTATTATTCTCTACTTTAAGAATGTAGAAAGCTGATAACAACCACAGGGATAGAATCAGAGGATGGGCAGCCCATTTCAAGAAATCACAAACTTGTGTCAAAGACACAAGCTGGAATTGGACCTTGGTGCTAATGCAGTGATTATTTGGTCACAATTTACAGTACTTCTTTAACTAGACTGACAAACATGCTATACCAATGTTATACTATTGTATATAAACAGGCTGTATTTATGCGGACATCATCATGAGGATTCACAACAGGGTCATAAATGATCACCTGGAAGTAAGCATCAGATCTGTGGCATACATACCCCAAGCAAACGAGATACTCAGAGCGTATCTCATATTTTATGTTTGCAATGATATACAATTACAAACTTTGTTATCAGAACTTTCATATCTCAATTAGCCTGTGTGTGTGTAGTCCCAGGGCAGTTTATCGGTCTGGCCTGGCTAATCTTTAGCTATCCTGTTCAGAGAAAAGTCAAACAAATGCCAACATGTATATACAGGTTTCTTATTATTCATTTGCCAAAATTCAGACAAAACAATCAAAGTTATTTTCGTAATTTATTTAGAACTGTTCCTGATGGA